TAAATCGTTATGTTTGAGGTTTTTTTCTGAAGCCTTTTCCATACGGCAGTTCTTTTCCCGGTCAGACATCTAATTTCAAAAGTAATCACAAACATTCCCGCATTGTCACCAGGGGAGCAACGTGGATTGTGGAGGCGGGTGACACTGACTGCCAGGCTTAAGGGCCACCATAGAACGGACCCATTGTTCCCTCTGTCGGGCGGATAGCACCTGATGCTGCAGTGCTCCTGTTGGACAGTTAGGAGCTGAAAGCCTGGTGTTGGGTATCTGAGCCTGAGCACTGGTGTTTGTTAGGGTGGCCATTTTGTCTCCTGTCATCATGTGTCGTGGATGGCAGCCCTGTTAGCAGAGAGGAGAAGTGGTGTTGTTTGTCTTCCATCTCTTTCATCTTGCCATCTATCGCTCCACCTCCGCCCCTCACCCACCCACTCCCTCTCTGCCCATGCATGAGCTCCCTCCTCTTCTTTCTACTCTTCATTCTCACCCTTTCCATCTCTTTCTTTCTGTCCCTCTCTCTCTCCATCTTTGCCTCCCCTCCCCTCCCTCCCGTCCTCTCATTTCCAGCCAAAAGGTTAGCGGGGGTCTTTAGCACCGTGGTGACATTCAAAACTGAGTGTCATCACTGTCTCTCTCGCTCTCTCTCATCCCTCCCTCTCACCCCTCCCTCTCTCTCACACACTCACACTAAGCCTAACATAACTGGATTAGGACTCAGCTATTTAGAGAGAGAGAGGGAGTGGGAGCGAGTATTGAGGTCATCCTAATAAACATTCATCTCATATGTCAGCCTGGCTTCAGCCATACACACAGCATGTGTTTTAACCAATAACCAATTACATAAACACACTGTATGTCTGTGTTTGATATGGTTATGATGAGGATGTCCATATAATGATGATGCTTTTATCTAATTCAGTAGCTGACACTGTATATACTCTTTTCCATATAGCCATCTCTCTCACTCTATCTTTATCTCTGTATATTCTGATATAAATGTGGTAGACAAAATAACAGAAACAGCATAATAATATCTAACAGCATCACAAACTACATACTCCAAATTAATCATACTGTAAAGTCAACAACTCTCAAACATTCACAACAAAAAAACTAAACATTAGAATTTTCATGGAGGTAGGATTTATTGCAGAACAGTTGTATGAACTGTGCCGATTGTATGAACATTGCTGGACTTTTGAGGATTTTAAAGACGGAAAGTAAATATATCAATACATAACTAATTATATAATTAAATGCTTAAATAAGTAAATAATTATATTATTACATCACAACATTCTTGAATCAATTAATCAATATTTAATTAATTATTAATTCATTCATTTACACTTTTATTTATTCATATATATTTAAATTAATGACGCTGTGTTCGCTGTTTATTTGTCTATTTATAATTGTATTTATTTATTTATATATACTTTCTTTTATCTATAGTCTAACTTGCTGCTGCAAAACAAATACATTTGTCAACTTCTATCAAAAGTCAGGGGTTAGGGTTAAAGCTGGTGAACTGGTGAATGAACAGTATTACAGACCCAGCAGACAGCCAGGTCAACCAGCGTTACTGTTACAACTTTCCATCATATCACCCTGCATCTTCAGTTGCTGCAGTATCTCCGCAAGTATACAGAATCATTAAGTGCTATGTCAGTTAGGGCTGATATTATTTCAATTCCTTTAGCAAAGCCCTCAGTCTGATCTAAAAAACATGGGTATTGACATTTGCATCCCTCTCTTCTGCTACAGCCAACATATCTTCCATTGTAGCAGGCAAGATTTCATTAAGATCCACTAAGATTCAGGTGGAGCATTGTGAATTCTGTCGTGGCTGTTGAACAGTGGACCAGCTCTTTACCCTTGTGGGGTTGCTAGGGGATCATGGGAATTTGACCATCCAGTCTACATGTGTTTTGTGGACCCCAGGGAATCCTGTAGGGGTTACTCTGGGAGTATGGGATTCTGGGACGGTCGCAACAAGCCGTCCGTTCCTTAGGTACCCAAAGTGAGAGCTAAGTCAAACAAGTTTTCAGTGGGTGTTGCCCCAAATGTTGTTTCTTGTCTCTCATCTCAAGACACAGCTAGGGTGAGGAGAGAGTGAGGATAATTGCATCCCAGCCGAAATAAGGGTCAGCACCTCCAAGTCCGTGGCCATAGTTGTCTGCCGAAAAAAATGGTGGGTCGCTTCCTCTGGGTTGGGAGTGAGTAGCTGCCCCAGGTGAAGGAGTTCAAGTATCTCAGGAGCTTCACATCTGACGTAAATCAGAGTGTGAGACAGTCTGGTGGATTAGAGATAGAGAGATAGGGCAAAAAGCTTGGACATCTGGAGGGAACTCAGACTAGAGCTGCTTCTTTGCATGAAAAAGAGCCAGCCTAGGTGGTTTGGGTATCTGATTAAGATGCCTTCTGAATGCCCTGCTTTGAAGGTTTTCTGGGTATGCACAGCTGGGCAGAGACCCTGGGGCAGACCCAGTATATCCTGGGAATGCCTCTGGATCCCCCAGAAGGAACTGGAAAACATTGCTGGAGAGAGGGATGAAAATGGATGGATGCTATATGAGACTGCTAAATGGTAAATGGGCTGTACTTCTATAACGCCTTTATAGTCGCCTGACCACTCAAAGCACTGTACACTACATGCCAAATTAACCCATTCCCATAGTGATGACAAAGGTCATCACAAACGGAAAGTCATTTATTCATACACAAATGCACAGCATTAGAAGCAAGGACACTTTGACATGCAGCAGGAGAAGCAAGGGATTGAACCACCAACCTTCTGATTAGTGGATGATCCGCTCTACCTCCTGAGCCACAGCCACTGAAAGCCACCCAAATGTTTCCCATAAGCCACAATTGTTCTAATATTATTGAACTGAGGTGGTTACTTTTGAATATTTGTTTTAAATATGCAATATGCAACTCGGCAAACACAAGTCAGCAACACTAGCTGTAGTCTGATGCATGATTTCCCTAACCCTGCCTGACTATTTCAAAGTGGTCTTTGAGATCATCAGGGATTCTGAAGGATGCTTCAGAGTGAGTTGCCTGAGTTGCTGATTAAATTTCTGATAGCTGTACTACTTGTTTCAGTTTTATGAACACATAATATTATTCGTAGAAATACATCTTAAAGCCCCTAAAAACTTGGTCCAGCAGTCAAAATTTCAGCTAATCTGCTTCATCAGGACTGTGTGAATAGTTTGAACAAACAACCAAAAACCCAACTGTCAGATCTGATTCAAATGTTACTAAATCCTGGTTGGTGCATGGCAGTACATAACATCACCTTTTGCCAACTGAATCACCACCAACATCAACCCAGTGACAAAAGCACACTGAAAAACACAATTACAGAAACCTCTCATATAAAAAATACAAAACTAAACTTTGGTCTAGAAATTTTGTTTTCATGAAGAACCCCATCACTTGCAATAAGAAACTGATTGAACAAAAACAAGTTTTTACAAATCTATATGATTGAGTGTCTAAAAATTGACTGAGCTAGTTGGGTGGGATGATGGGAATTACTTCTTCTAGATTTTCTTTGTTACCAGAGACCTTGTTACCTCTTAAACTGGGAAAACAGAGGAAGTGAGGGGTCGCAGTGATACTTAGAGCCTTCATCCCCACCCTCTGTTCCCAAAGAGTCCCCATGTTCAGGTTACCATGCCATGCAGTGATACTGTATGAACTGAATCAATGGGAGGTTTATAGAACCTTACTTACTTGCAAATTAGCTGTCTTACCTTAAAAAATTTATAGTTTTGTATCTAGGAATATTCCTAGGTGTTTACAAAAAATATTTATTGCTGCAACTAATGAGTATTTTCATTAGCAGTTAATCTGCTCATTATTTTCTTAACTAACGGATTAAGTGTCTTGTTTATAAAATTTCAGGAAACTGTTTATAAAAAGTTAATAAAAAATGCCCATGAAAATGACTGAAAACCCAAGTTGATTCCAAAGATTTTAAAATAACCTTAAGAATTTTATAATGAAATATAGGAAAACAGCAAATCCTGTGTAATGTAAATCTGAAAATTGAATTGAATTAAATATGAATATCTTACAGAATCCACAGCTGTTTTATACTGTATGAAAAGCTTCTATTTTAGTTCAGTTGATAAATGTTGATAAATCTGCAGTTTCAGATTTGAGTGCAGTGCTATTACACACAATTGCAGTGCAAATAAGTACATATCACAGCAATTCTTATATGGTGTGACCATTTACAACATGAGATACAATGGAAATTAAACTGAAATAGCAATCATTAAGTGGCTTCCAAATAATAATTATTCTGTTGTCATTATACTAATTACCTTTTTAAGAAATCCACACCAAAAAAGGTACCAAAAGGACAGCACCGCCACCTCATGCTTGTCTTTCCACTTGCGTCATGAAAGTAGGTCCCTACATCATCTTCTGTCTTTTGTCTTCTGAAGTTTAGGCTACAGCCTGGCCAGATGAAGCTTGTATTTTGCAACTTGTGATTTATCCTGACACTAATTGATCCACAATCTGATGATTTTCTTGTGAATGCTTGATGTGTTAAGCTCAAAAGATTCTGAGTTCTGAGGAAAAAAATTCTTCATCTATATCCTTACATGCATACAGGAATTTGTATTGACTCTCTCTCTCCCTCACTCTTAATCTCACTCTTAATCCCCCTCTCTCTCTCTCTCTCTCTCTCTCTCTCTCTCATGCTAGAGATGTTGACTGAGTGTGTAAAGAACAAGGATGTTAAGAAGGTGAGTTTCATTTAGTCAGTCCATCCTCAAATCTTCAATATTCATCCATCATAGATATGGTTTTATCTTAAAACTTTTGGCTACTTTAAAAATGAAGATCCAGCACTGTTTACACTGTAACAACTTCACAAAAGTACAGTTGATTACCATAGATTGCAACAGATTCAACAGTACTCACCATAAAAGTGTTAACATGGAGCCTCCATGTAAATTTTTGCTTCTGGACGTTTTCTTCCCCCAAGTCAAGGTGTAATCCGCAAAATTTCCAGACCAGAGATGGCTTCTAAAATCAATTAAATTTGGTTCCTGAAAGTAGCAAGGGTACAGAGGGCTTGAAAGAAGCATTAGGTGTGTTGTGGGAAAAGGTTTTAGGATTTTGCAGGGCCACAAAATAAGGGTGTTTATCTTCAAAACTGCTCGATATTTTTATATTAACAATGGATCAAATGACTATATATGAAGTCTGTCACTTGTAATACTAACCCACAGAGAATAATCTTTGACTCATCAGGTCATTAGCTCTACAGAACTTCCCAGGCTCTTTCGGACTCCACTCTCATCAGCCTGGTTTCCAGCAGCAGCAGGCAGCTGTTTTTAAATGAAATGCTCTTATAAAGCCAATATACACCATCTGCTCAGTAGCAAACAGCAGAGAGACACAGTTAGAGACTAACTAGTGAACATAGTGGAGCAGTCCGTAGCTAAAGAGCAAGATAGTTTCCTCAGGAGCTAAAAGAGAGTGAATATTTGATTTACATTCTTCAGGTGACACAAACAATACTCTAAATGAATACTAATGTTGCTCTGCCTGCATGATATTTAAATAAGGAACTGTTCATACATTTGCCACATGAAGTTTCTAAAGTTAAATGTCAGATGGTTTATTTTTTTTATGTTTTGTTGGCCTCTGAGGGGTCAAAAATTCAAGATTTAAGTGAAGTAATTTTTTATTCAAAATGTTACCACTAATCGTGTTTTACTGCTAATTTAACCCCTATATCACCAAAAGCTGCAGGAGCTGCACCTGAAGGGAGCAGACCTCACAACGCTGGACTTATCAGGCTGCAGTTTACTGCACCATGCTGTCAGTACAGGAAGTAAAGAGATGGTCCGCTATATCTTGGACAATGGTAACTGCAACAAACCAGCATCCATTATGAATATAATTAGATTATATTCAATGAAATTCTAATAAATCCAAGTTTCATGAGGGGTGTTACCCAGGTGTTTTTAACCATTATATTACAGTATATATAATTGTGCAATACATTACATGTATACATACTGTCAAGATCTGGACAAAACACAACTGCAGATCAAGTTTTCTTTAGTTTTAAAATTTGTGTTTGGCATTTGAAATATTGGGTAAATAATAAAAAATGTCAGTACTTACTACTACACGTATGAAACAGAGCAAGAATTTAGGTTGCTGCTACTCCAACCTTCACAGTCTCACTTTTTACTGCACTATAAAGCATCTGCACTAATCACAATGGGGAATTACAAGATCCATGTTCCACTATGTGACAGTATCAGTGAATTGTGATATTTATTTAGATGTATTCCTTAATCTTATTATGACATTTGTGACATGACGCAGTAGCTAAAAATTAACTGATGAATACAACACAACAACACAATAACAGGTATATAAAGTACATTCTTTTAGGTAAAGATCCCCTCCAGACATGTATTACAACATATACAAATAGTCTGTTTGGAACATTAATTTGTGTCTGATGTGTTTTTTTCTGCAAAAAATAAAATAAAAATGTACACATTAAAACTTTAAAGGGCATCCTCTCTACCTAATAAAAAAATCCAGAATCTTTGAATATGCAAATAGTGTTCATTTCTAAAGTTTTCCTGCAGGACACAAAAGTCCATCCTCAGTGTTCTGTAAACTGACAGCTTCAAGTCATAGTCATAGGCCCCGCCCCTTAAAATCAAATTTTCAGTTAACACAGTGATAAGGAAATCTTTTTTTTTTTTTTTTTTGAGCTACAGAAAACCAGTGAACATAGACAAATGCCATTGACACTCAACAACAATTGTCTAGTCTAGTGCCACTAATTTCCTCTCTTCTGTTTGTTCCAGCTCCAAGTGACCTGCTTGATGTCACAGAAAAACTACAGTAAGTTCATGGTTACCTTAGCCAACTATTAAAATATGAATTAAACAAATGAAGGGATTTAAAATGCTTTTCTGTACAAAGCCTTCTTTCTTTGATCTTCAAGTTGTTTGATTTTGTTTCTATCCTTTGATTGTCCAGTGACCATTACATTTTGTTATGGACATATGGGTGACACAGTGTGGTAAAACTCTGTATAACTTTGTCCTGTGACTATAGCACCAGCTTTGAAGTTGTTCCACTGGGCCCTGGTCTGCCTATATGTGCTGGGCATCCTAACAAGTGTACCAAATTTTAAAGAGAATAAACATAAGAAACCAAACAAAAGCAGTGGGGTGCCTGATCATCAATGGTGCTTGACTCCCAGAAGATGTCAGATGCTGTTATCTAATGCTTGCTCTCTCACTCTCTCTGTGTCTCTGTACTCTGGACCACCAGTGGGGAGACGGTTCTTCATCGAGCTGCATCTCTGTGTCACAGAACCATCTGTCATTATCTGGTAGAAGCTGGAGCCTCCCTGATGAAAACAGACCTACAGGTAGGTTCTGTACACACACATAGAGACCATTTACCCAGCTGTGCTGATTACACGTTGCAATTTCAACACACTGCAATTTCAATTTTTCAATGAGGGAGTATTTTTTATGTTATAATAAGTAGCTTTGGTCTCCTCGTGAGATATCAGATATACTTTAGTCTAGAAACAGAGTTTCTAGAAATGTTCCTAAACACGCAATATGGTTCACTCCGGTGTTTATCCGATTTAAATATTTAGGCTAGTCTGTTAACCCTTAGGGGTTCCTTAAAAAAAATCACACATTTGTTCCTAAGGCAGAAAACTAAACCTGCCAGCTTTCGCAAAAACCTGCTGTAAATGAATCTTAATAAAGTCAATTGGTTTGTTCCTAGCTTTAAAGCTGGGGTTTGGTAATCTCGAAAGGCTAGCGAGAGAGAACTGGCAGGTTTTGAAAATAGCCTCCGCCCTCCTGCCTCTTCTGATTGGCTTCATGGTTCCCCTCTCCCCCCCGCCCGTCAGTGTGTCGGTCCAAGCAGGCCCCCACAAACTGGGCACAGTTAACGTTAAGCTAGACGTTACACTCACCGGCAGTTGTAAAACGTAAAAGCCAATATATAACCGTCTTTTTATCACAAATATATAATGCAGGACAGCTGAGCGACCTATGGTAGAGTATATCTTAAAAATTCCACTAATAATTAATCTTTTCAATAAGCTAGCGTCAGCCCGAACGCCGTTTTGAACTCACAGAGAAGATATATTAGCATTACGCTAATGGCAAGTTACATAATTTCCATGAAAAATAACAAAATCATCCCCAAAAAGTAAATAAATAAAACCTGTTCGCAGAAAAGAGAGCAAGCGCTCCGGCATCACTTTTCAGGCAGCTTCTGGATCCCGCTCCCAGTTGTCTCCACCGCTCAAAGCTACACCCGATGTTGACTCCCCTGGTTTGAGTCAACCCATTGGGGCGGGAGTGCAGAACTAGAAACATGAAGGGGCATCCCTGATTGGTTGTTGCTCTTCCGGACCGAAGGGCGACGATTGGTCGAAGTTTTTCTCAGTCAGCTGCAGCTGAGCAGAGAGCTCTGATTTCTCCCGTTCTTTTTGCTGAAGACATAAGCGAATGTGATTCGCTCTGACAACAGAGGGATCGCATTTCACGCCAGTATAAGCAAAACATGGCCCTCTGAACCGGGAATTGCCTACCCTGACCTTTAAATGAGTCAATCTTTTGAAGCTACTTCAAGTATTGAAATAGTACATATCAAATTTATTATATTTGGGGGGATTGTCGGGGACAACATCCACACATTGTTCCTAAGGGGCAGAAAAGCCTGCCAGCCCTTCGCAAAAACTGCTGGGTAAAAAATCTTATAAATAAATATTTTTTCCCACCCTTAAATTAGTCATCTTTATGAAACTAGTTCCAGCTTGAAATATACATATGCGAAAATAGGTATCATATTTTGGGTATTTTAACCCCTTTTAAAGGCCTAGGTTTACACAACATCCCAACAGGCTGTTGTGGAAAGTCTCCAGAGTTTGTTTGAAAGCCAGTTATTTTTCAAACTTTTTGATGTCCATTTTGCCTGCTGCTTCATCAATGTTCATCCTTCAGATGAGTCTTCAAGATGGTCAGCTAGAGCACCAAGTCATCTGTCTCTACTCTGGGCCTCCTCTCCGAGGAATCAGAGTCCTCGAGGAGATTGAGGACCCATATTGCGCTCCTCGAGCCCCCCATGATTAGTTTCAAGCCGGCCTCCTGTTGTGGCTGTAATGCCTTGGCCCATCTTAAAATGACTAGCTCCCCTCAACTGACTGCTGCATACTTATGAAACCATGACTGCAGTGCACTCTGCCATCAAGCCGGAGTGCCTGAACGAGAACCAAACAAAAGTCACATTTTGTTTTGGTTCTTAAAGCCCAACTCATAAAGTTTTTTATTATTGAATTTAGTTATATAACGCAGAGTTTGGCATTTCCCTAGAAGAAAAAGACTTTGTGAAAGTTGGACACACACACACAACACAACACACACACACCAAAACAACCACACATACACACACTACCACCACTTACACACAATACACATAAAAAAACTTATTTCAAGTAAGCAAGGCACCCTGGCAGAAAACAGTAAAAAAGGTGAAATTTTTTGCTGCATTGCTTGAATGGGAAATAAAAAGTTAAAATGAACGTTGGTTGAAACTAATATAAAAAATTAAAAAATTTGAAAGGCCTTATGAACCTAAAATGAAATCTTAAACATAAGAATGCATCGTATGTTAAGAAATAAACAGGGATCAAAAAATGGGCGGTTGAAATGGTTTTCAAATTGTTGGCAGTTTTCTGCCCTAGGAATCAAAAAGTTGTGTTGAGTTTGTGCGTAAGCTTTAGTCCATTTTTAGGCTAATTTTTAAGGAACTAAGAACGCAGATTCTAAAACAAAAAGCAAAATGATAAACTTGGCAAGTTTGAGCTTCCATTCATTTGAACACAGCCAAAATAGAAAATGAAAATATAAAACGGAATGGTAGCAAAATGTTCCCCGAGAACACCTAAGGTTTAAGTTCTTAACAAGACATTTCAAGCCATTCCCCCTCCACAGAAACTGGGAAGCCTCAAAATGCCATTCAATCTACAAAGCTCTC